GGATCAACATGTGTGTGTCTCTATGTGGGTGTAGGATGGTCACAATCTTTGCTAAGTCTCCTTCTGGTCTACTTTGAAAGGGGAAAAGTCACATTTTTTATTTTATTTTTTCAAAGGGAAGGAAAAAATAAAATGGGCAAACAGGCCACAAATTATGAGAGGCAGTTTTCTGCGCCCGCTGCCTTCTGCAAAATCCTGTATAAAAGCGCCTCTGATGTTAGAAACAGTATCATGATAAAATGTAAAGACTATTCTAAGTCCTCCCCACACCCTCAAAATACAGATGCTTCTGAACAATTTTGCAACCCCAGATGATCGAAATAGACTGTCCAGGGAATTTAATGTCAGAATAGGAATAGGAATAGAATAGAATACAAAATAGAATAGAATACAAAATAGAATAGAATAGAATTACACGATAGAATAGAATTACGCGACAGAATAGAATAGAATAGGAATAGAAAAGGAATAGAAGAGAACAGAAATACAGAATAGAAGAGAACAGATATACAGAATAGAAAGGAGAAAATGGATAGAAGAGAAAATGAACAGAAGAGAAGAGAAAATGAATAGAAGAGAATAGAAGACAACAGAAATACAGAATAGAAGAGAAAATGAATAGAAAATGGATAGAATATAGAAAATGGATAGATGAGAAAATGAATAGAGTAGAACAGAAATATAAAATAAATTAGAAAATTAATAGAATAGAAAATAGAATAGAATAGTAGAAGAGAAGAGAAAATGAACAGAACATAGAAAATGAATAGAGTAGAATAGAACAGAACAACAGAGTTGGAAGGGACCTTGGAGGTCTTCTAGTCCACCCCCCTCTTGAACAGAACCATGGTTCTACTGAATTTTTTCCACTTACTGTCTGACCCGACAGACAGACCCTGGTCAGAAGGAAAAGGACACCCAAAGCTTACAATTGACAATCAGGTGGATCCAGGTGCCGTTCTGGAATTCATCATCGTTGTTGGGGCGGTTGAGGAACAGCACCCGGCATTCGTACCAGCCCTGATCCTCGGCACGCAGTCGGTCGATCTGCAGAGAGGCCCCCGCTTGGATCCGTACTCGACCTGCATTGCAAAAGGAGAAAACATAACCATTTTGTTAATGAAAAGCTCCTATCGCCTCTCAGCTTCGTCTTTACAGTTAGTCCTCGACTTACGACTGATCGCTTAGCAATCAGTTCACAGTTATGATGGAACCCCCCCACAAGAGCTACTTATGACCTGATTTTCAAAGTCTGATGGCCACACATACCCCTCCTGCAGTTCCAAGATGGCCACCCAGAATTGCTCTATCAATGAGATGGGCGGCATAATAAATAAATAAATAAATAAATAAATACAGTTTCAAAGGGCAGCTACGTGCCTCTCCGTTTCAACTTGCCTTTAGAGTAAGGGGTGTGTGTGTTGCTTTCGAGTGGGTTAGATGGAGAAACGAAACCTCTTCGATTCAGCTGAAGACTGAGAGAGCCTGAAATCTTTTCAAGGACACCAGAACAGGTGTGGATTTGAAGCAGACGGTTCCCATAACAAAGTGAACTTGTTTATATGGACTAAGTAATCAAGTGATCAAGGTTGAGAAACGCTGCTTTAAAAGAATTCAGAATTAAAGCAGTAAATTTGGATGTAGGGCAAGGGAGCAAGTTCTGTAAGCTTTCAGCTACCCTGATGAATTGTGGCCTGGTTTGAGGGTGTGTGCACATTTGTGTGTATATACAGGCAATCAAGAACAAATAAACAGAAACCGATGCATGTTTAATTTTATTCTATCTGCTTGCTGCCACCCAGTTTATCAAACACAACGCCTCTGTTTATACAGTAGCCTGAATTGCAAGGCAAAATCTAATATTCTTGTATCTTTGCATGCTTATTCCTTGTGCTTAGAAACAGACATTTGGACAAAGAAAGTGAACTAACTATGATTTATTTCTAGTCCAGCTAGGCAGGTCTACAGCACTGACATTATTAGCAAAATGTGAGCAGATTAATTATATTATTTATTACTTATCCCCCGTGATTTATTGATAATTGTGTATTGTATTCGTTTCCAGTTATGTGGTGGGGTTTTTTCCTTGCTTTATTTTCTTACATTGTATGCGTCTTAAGTGACAAGCTTGTTCCTTTTTTATTTATTTTTCTTATATTGTATTTGTTTCTTGTTATGTGGCAAGTTTGTTACATGGTGGGGTTTTTTTCCTTTTTTTTAAAATGCCTTACACTATCCAGAATCACATGGTTTGAGTGGGTGGAATCACAGAAAGAGAAAGAATGAAAGAAAGAAAGAAAGAAAGAAAGAAAGAAAGAAAGAAAGAAAGAAAGAAAGAAAGAAAAAGATGAAAAGGAAGGAAGGAAGGAAGGAAGGAAGGAGAGAATGAGAGGGAAAAGCGAATGGGAGGGAAAGAAGGAAGGAAGCAAGGGAAGGAAAGAATAGAATAGAATGGGAGGAAGGAAAGAAGGAAAGAAGGAAGGAAGGAAGGAAGGAAGGAAGGAAGGAAGGAAGGAAGGAAGGAAGGAGATGATGGACAGGAGTTCAGATCCTACCTTACTCAAGGAAGTTTTCACTAAAGCCTGAATCTACAACTAACTCAGTTTAGGATTTTCTCCTGATAAAAATCTCTAGATAGAAGCCAGATCTAAGCTATAATCTCCATTTTCTAATTCCCTGCTGTTTCCCTTCCTTGCAAACCATGAGGTTGTCTGGCTTAATCAACCCCTGTTGCAGTCTAGATTTTGTCTTTGGCCAAACCCAATTGGCAGATATTTGAGAATGCAAAAGAAAAAACAGCCAGCAATTAAAGCAGGACAACTCCAGATATTCATAGGCAACCAGTCTGAGCAAGTCCGCCAGGGATTTTACAATCCCGAGAAGGATTCCCACCCTCGGTTGTTAAGAAAAGGGTTCAAAAGGTTGGCCAGACAATCAGACAGAGACGCCTCTTAAAAATCCCTGACCCGGAAAAAGGGAGAGGAGGGGGAAAAAAAAGAGGGCGAGCGGATAAAGAAGGGGGGGGGGGAGGCAAAAGGCAGCCATTTGGGGCCACCACCACCACCCAAGATATTGTCTGAAGCAAATCTTGTGTCATTTTGGTCATTCCCACTACACAACACCCAAGAAGCTTCCCCAGAAATGACACAAAGTCAGGCGAGGCGCTAAATGCCCGCTCCTGAAAACAGAATGTTCCAGAAAATGCCAGAACATTCCGGAGAATGCTGGAAAATCCTTTTTTTGTTGTTGTTGTTGTTGTTGTTGAGGAACCCATGACATTTCCCAACTCATTTGAGAATCAGTTCCTGACTTTCCCGAAGGAAAAAAAAAAAAGGATAATCCAGCATTATCTGGGGAATTCTGGGAGTTGAAGTCCACAAGTCTTAAGGTTGCCACAGTTGGAGACCCCTGCTGTAGTCTATAGTTTCAACAGCTGAACATTGTATATAGGCCCAGTTTTGTAGCATTGCCACACAGAACAACTCCCCCCTGGGATTGTTGGTCTCCAAACTTGAAGCCAACTCTTTTATTGAGATACCAACCTGGGCACCATCTTATTATTCAGAATAACAGAGTTGGAAGGGACCTTGGAGGTCTTCTAGTCCAACCCCCTGCTCAGGCAGGAAACCTTATATCATTTCAGACAAACGATTGTTCAGTCTCTTCTTTAAAACTTCCAGTGCTGGAGCACTCACAACTTCTGATGGCAAGTTGTTCCACCGGTTAATTGTTCTCACTGTTAGGAAATTTCTCCTTAATTCCAGATTGCTTCTCTCCCTGATTTAAGTTTCCAACCGTTGCTTCTTGTCCTGCCTCCGGGTGCTTTGGAGAACAGGTTGACCCCCCCCTCTTCTCTGTGGCAGCCCCTCAAATATTGGAAAACTGATATTGTGTCACCTCACATCCTTGTTTTCCTTAAATTACACTATGTGATAAACAGGAATTGAAGGGGAAAACTGGTAGCCGCAGACCTGACTGAGACCAAAGAATATTTTGTATTTCTTTGCTTGGGTTTCCCTACTTCTCAAAACAAACACACCCTGAAGCTCCATTGCCTCTAACTCAATCTTGCCATCAATAAATACGGGCAAAGTCTCCAGCACCTGTCTGCAAACACAAACACACCCTCCTGGGCCAGCCCAGTCCATTGTCTACATATTAAAAGGCCTTTTCTCTTTGGAAGACAGCCAGGATTTCTCAAATGTGGGGGTTATTGCAGGCTTAAAAAAAAAAGAGAGAGAGAAATTGAATCTGCAATCCACCCAAATGGGATGAAACGTGGGATTTTATTCACCAGTAGGGCTGTGTGAGACATAATAAAGGCACCTTTTGAAGTATTTTAACGGAGCTTTATTATCCTACGGGCTTTACCATTTGAAACAAGAGGCCCCAGCCTGACTGAACTTTGCTTCTTGCCCTCGAAATGAAGTGACTAAATTGGTTTATGGCTAAATTTATGACGGTGCTCCAGAAATCCACGAGACTCCTTTGTTTTATGGGAAATCAAAGCAAAGGCGTGTTGCTAGGACGGCTGCAGCCATTTTATCAGAATCAAAAGACATACAGAACCTAGAATACTGGTGATCCTTGATTTAAAACAGTTCGTTTAGTGACTGTTTTGGAAATGAAATGAAACGGGGGAATTAAATATCTTTTTTTCCTTAGGGACACGATGATGGTCCCAAGACACCATTTCCACAAGGTGTCAAAGTTTAGATACAGGTTCAACTTACAGTCGCTCATTTAGTGTCCGTTTGAAGTTACAACGGCACTGAAAAAGTGGCTTATGACTATTTTTCACACTCACGACCAAGGGGTCTTCAAACTTGGCCCTTTTTATGACTTGTGGACTTCAACTCCCAGAATTCCTCAGCCAGGCACTTCTGGGAGCTGAAGTCCACAAGTCAGAAAAGGGCCAAGTTTGGAGACCCCTGTCTTAAATCTAACAAACAAAATGGAGGCTGGCTGAGGAATTCTGGGAGTTGAGGTCCACAAGTCATAAAAGGGGCAAGTTTGAAGACCCCTGGTTTAAGGGATCAAAATTCGGACGCTTGGCAACTGACTCGCGTTTATGACGGTCGCAGTGATCCGCGGTCACGTGATTCCCCTTTTGCGACCTTCTGGCAAGCAGAGTCAATGGGGAAAGCCAGATTCACTTACTAATTTAAGAACCGCAGTGATTCACTTAACAACCGTGATAAGAAAGGTCGTAAAAATGGAGCAAAACTCACTTAAAAAAAATGTCTCGCTTCGCAACAGAAAATTTGGTCGAGGACTACCCGTAAGAGGATTCGGAAGGGACCCTGGAGGTCTTCTAGACCAACCCCCTGCTCAAGCAGGAGACCCTGTAAAATTCCAGACAAATGGTTGTCCAAACCTAAATGGATATTATTATTAAAAACCACACATTAAAACTATAAAACTTAAACGGATGAATGTTTTGCCAAAGGCTCAGACTGTCACCAATTGAGCCCAGACCAGGGGGAGGGGAAAGCTTTCCCGGTTGAACTTCTGCCACAAGTCACTCACCAACGTAGTCTGGATCCACACGGGGGGAATACAGCCCGAATTTGATGAAGATGGGGAGCGGGAAACCAAACCGGACCCACTCAATGACGTAAAGAGGGGGGCTTGTCTCGTCTGGCTTCAGCAGGTTGCAGTGCAAAAGGGCTCTTTCCCCTTTGCGGCCGACCACCATGCGAGGTTCTGCTTTGTTGTTACCTGCTGGAAGAAACATCGAGAGAAAGTATATTACAATCAGCCGCTCTGAATTTAAGCCTTTCTGAGGCTTCCGTTTTTCTACCTCATTTTTTGGGGAAGCCCCCACCCTCCCGTGAAACTTGCTTTTGGCCAAAATTCCTCCAAGTGGAAAAAAGAGGCTTCTGTTTTTCTACCTCATTTTTGAAGGCCGCCCTTTTAGATCGAGGCCATACTGAAATTCCTCCAAAGGAGGACGAGGCTTCCGTTTTTCCACCTCATGTTTGAAGGCCACCTTTTTAAATCAAGGTGGTCTCAAAATTCCTCAAAGGGAAGGAAGAGGCTTCCGTTTTTCTACCTCATTTTTGAAGGCCACCCTTTTAGATCAAGGCCGTATTGAAATTCTTCCAAAGGAGGACGAGGCTTCCGTTTTTCCACCTCATATTTGAAGGCCACCTTTTAAAATCAAGGTGGTCTCAAAAATGCCTCAAGGGGAGGAAGAAGCTTCTGTTTTACGAATTAAGTGCATGTTACTGGCAAAAGACAGAGCTGAGAGGTCACAAGGGGACAGTGGATTGACCCCCCCCCAATTGTATTCTCAGTTTTGGCGGGGGTCCATGGGGGAAACCTCCCATCTAGGAGACCCACTTACCTTCAGCAAGGCTGCTGCAGACCAGGATAACGCAGGCAAACCTCAGCAACCAATTCATAGCACAGTTATCCAGGCCAAATGCTGCGTAGGACGACCGCTATGCCGAGACCCTCCCCAGCACAGGATATTTGGGGAGCAACCTCTAGCGAAAGGGAAGAGGATGCCAGCCCACAATCACACCGTCCTTGTGCACCACCACGCCGCTGGCTTTTCAACACAGCCTTCCAGAGACGCCTGCAAAGCGCAGGCCGGGATGTCTCGCACCCGAGTCCTGCTTTTCATCTCCCGCAGATCTGTCCGTACAACGCGGGCGTTCAGTGAGAAATTTCTCCTTCAGCATTGACCGAGCCCTGGTGGAGCAAAGTTGGCAAAAGGAAAGAAAAGACTGGAGAATCGTAAACTTATTTTCGTTCTAAAGAAAATCCAGTAAGGGGCAAGCTGCGTAAAATAGCTATTTTGTCTTGTTTTTGAAAGACACGCTATAATTTCAAAAAGGCTTCCGCCTCGGAATGTATTTCTACACTGGCAATGGTTGTTAAGTGTGAAAAACGGTCACAAGCCACGTTTTCATGTGCAGTTGTAGCTTCAAATGGTTGCTAAATGGTCAATAAGATGAGGGCTACCTTGGGCAGCTTGTGGAAATGCAAACACAAGTTTGGAACTAACCAGGTTAACGGTGGTGTCTTGGGATCATGGTTGTGTCCATGAGAAAAAAGCACTTTATTTAATTGCCCCCATTTTATCTCCTTTTGTTCCTGTGATTATTACCTTTCCCCCGTCTTTGTCCCTGTAGCAACCTCTATTTTGCCTTTAGCTAGGCCAGTTTGAATTAAATTTTACTTCAAGCTCCATTTCCGCTTCTAAAAAAACAATCCACCGTCAGCCCCACAAAAAAGCTGGTCCACCCTCCATCACTGGCGGCATCAATTTCAGAAAAACAAGCCAATCGCAGGGTTATTTTCTCCACTTTCTCTTCCTGTCTGCAATTTTGCTCAATTAAAAAGAGGAGATAATGCCGCTTTTTCTTTAATCTCTGCCACACACAAACTTCAAAGGATTTGGCCCGCTCTGCATTTTGCACCACGAAAAAGTGCAAAACTTTAGGACCAGCTTGGGGGAAAAAAAAGAGATTTTATTCCCAATTTTTTTTAAAAAAATACCGCTTTAAGATAGAAGGCAGGCAATTCAGATTAAAGTGCAGAAGTCCGCAGCTGAGTATCCAATAATAGGCTTCTTGAAAATTAGCAGAAATAAATCCTACTGTAAAACTGGACAGGGCCTCTCTAAGCAGCTTAACCTTTCAAACGCTCCTGGCTGGTTTCATTTTATCCTCACAAGAACCCTGCGAGGTAGGTTAGGCTGAGAAGTGAGTAATTGGCTTCAGGGTCAGTTGCAAACTGAGCAGGCAAATAAATAAATTGGCAAATTTTGCCAGCATTTTCTCCCACGTATTTCTCAAGGACCATCTTCCCAGCAGCCTTTACAACTAGGAGGAGCAAGAATTTTAATTTGTGATTTGCTAGTTTCCCCATCTGATAAGAATACCAAAGCAGGTAGGTGTCTTTTGCTTAAACTATTTTATTTGTTTATTTTATTTGTTGCTGGTGGCGGTCAAGATCAAATACCCTGTGCAATTTTCTCGCCATTAAAGCGAATTCCCTTTGGAAAAATGTGTCTGAATTTGAGTTATTCCACCTGCAGGCTTACAAGGAACAGATATGGGCATTTTTCAAAACAAAAAAAGAACATTTTTTTCAGAAGAAAGAGAATTTACTCCCGCAGGCACACCACATTGCTGTAAAATAAACCCACCAACGCGTCCATTAAATCCAAAACCCGATTTAGTAATTTTCTCCCTTCTCTACATCTTCATTTCTTGACCAGTTCATCAACTTGGATAGAGAAAAAGGGGGGAAAAATGAGACATCTGTCTTAGGGGCGAAGAAGAGACCAAAAAGGTCTGTCTTAAACACTTATTTTATTTATCCAATTTCTATAGCGGCCCGAACTTTAACAAAGCGATTCAATGAAGTGATTTTATTCCCTACAAATTGTACCCCACTTTTAAGGGGAAACCCCAACCAGCACCAACAGCCCCCTGCCCACAAAATGCAATATAATTCTGTTCTTCCTGGATCCCTCACCAAGCCATCCATTCTGGCTGTTACAAATAGCAGGGTAAAATTTTGTGTCTTTTCAAATTAAAGGAACAAAACTTCCGCTTCCTTGGATCCATTTCCCAGGGCAAAACATATTTAAGTTTTGCTTTCCAGAGCAACGATCCTCAAAAGTCAGGATTTTTTTTTTGCCCCCTCAATCTCTCTTAGTCCCTTTCCTGGGAGTTTTTAAATCTAGGAGGAAGCAAATCAGAAGGCTAGCAGGCTGGAGCTGGGATGGGAATTGTAGTCCCTGGGAGGCCCCCAGGCTGGAGGAAGAGAATATGAGAATTCTGGAGGGGCTCAAGTCACACAACCTGTTTAACTACTAACCCAAAGGCCCAATCTTGTGCATTGGCGCAAGATGTGCCAACTTGGGCATAACATGATGGCTAAATGCTTTTTTATATTTATGATTTTACGGCCCTGTAAGCAGCACGAAGTCGCTCTGGGTGGCAGATACATTTAATAATAAACACATTTAATAAACAAACAGGCTGTAGAAGGCAGACAGCGGAGAATGCAAGAAGGGGGTTACATGCGTTTGTGTGAACAGAGCTACCGGATGCTCCCCACTCTCTCTCATAATTGGGGATCCCCTCTTCTCGGCTGCTCCGTGGGAAATGAACCCACCCAGGCGCCCGGCTAAGCGGCCAGCACTTCCTGGGCCAGGGAAGCATTTCAAGAGACTGGTCCTCAGTGAGGCAGACGCTACTATCCTGCTTCAAAAGCCGCTGGAAAATCCCGGATTTTCTGCTTCTTTGTGTGTGTGTGTGTGTGTGTGTGTGTGTGTGTGTGTGTGTGTGTGTGTCCCCCGACTAATCCTCGGTGGGATGCGCCACATAAAACCCGGGTTTAGCCCAGCACGGGTTCAGAACAGCACCCTGCGGCCCCCAAATGTCATGCAAACTCGAGAGTTTCATTGCGTAACGTGGTTCACACGACCACCCACTCCACGAAGCGCAAGAGACCCGGATCGCAGGGTTTCTGGAGGGGGCGGGGAGAACCGGACCGTCCGGGATCTTACCTGCTTGCCTCCGGCGGAAGATGCCCACTCCCGGCCAGGGCTCTCGGTCCGGTCCGGACAGGCACCGGCCGGAAGCCGCCGCCGCCATCCGCGGCTCTGCAAAGCGCTGCTAGGCTAACTTTGCGCGCCGGTAGTTTTGCAACGTGGCGCCCGCGGGCGAGCGGCGCTGCGCTCTTCCCCTGCGCTGCGTGCAATTTACTCCGCGGCTGCTCCGAAGCGCAAATGCAACCCCTTTTCTTGCATCTGCCCCGCGAACCCGGATTCGGAGCCACTTCGTTTCCACGGGCGGCAGAAAGCCAGCGGGCGCCCGACGTGGAAACTCCGTCCCGGAGAAGCGCTCGTCCGGGGAAACTTCCCACACAATGGAGGGGCGGGGGCTTTGCTCCGCTCCCCCCCACCCCCAGCCTCTTGGTTGCCAGGGCAACGGCCAATCGCGTGCCCGAAAGCGCTTCCTGCGCCTTCCAAACGCGCCAATCGCCGCGAGGCAAAGGCAGGACCGGGGCGCTTTAAAGGGGAGAGGGAAAGGGGAGGGGGCGTGGCTTGACACGGGAGGGGGAGAAGAGAGAGGAGAGATTTATTTTTGCAAAGGTGTCTGGGATATGTAGTTTTTTTCCCCTCCCCCGGTGGGGCAGAAACCCTGGAGGGGTTCCACTAAAAAAATCAGCGTTTTTTCTCAACTTGGGCAACGTTGAAGATAAGGTTGGACTTCAACTCCCAGCATTCCCCAGCCGGCACGTGGGAATGGCAGTCAATTCCTGTGTTTAAAAGTTGGGTCATCTGGGGAATGCTGGAAGCCCACCAAACCTGGAAATAAATGGCTAAGGTTGCAAAAAACACCACGCTAAATGAAGTGGGGTGTTTTGTAAAATGTACAAAGTGTAAATTTAGAGATAGATAGATAGATAGATAGATAGATAGATAGATAGATAGATAGATAGATAGATAGATAGATAGATAGATAGATAGATAGATAGATAGATAGATAGATAGATAGATAGATAGATAGACAGACAGACAGACAGACAGATATGGAGACAGAGAGAGAGAGAGAGATATGGATGGATGGATGGATGGATAGATAGATATGGATGGAGACAGAGAGAGAGAGAGATGGATGGATAGATAGATATGAATGGAGACAGACAGAGAGAGAGAGAGAGAGAGAGATATGGATGGATAGATAGATAGATATGGATGGAGACAGACAGAGAGAGAGGGGATGGATGGATGGATGGATAGGTAGGTAGATAGATAGATAGATAGATAGATAGATAGATAGATAGATAGATAGATAGATAGATAGATAGATAGATAGATAGATAGATAGATAGATAGATAGACAGACAACGGCTTTAAAGCCGGGTCGGCTGCGGAATTCTGGGAGCTGAACCCTTTCATTTGGGGCAAAACTACACAATTTTCTTGATGTTGCAGTAGTCCTCCCTTTTTTCCTTCCTTCTCATATCCTCCCTCCCTCCTTCCCTTTTGGTATCCTTCCTTCCTTCCCCTTTTCGTCCTTCCTTCCTTCCTCTTCTTTCTTTCTTTCTTTTTCTTTCTTTCTTTCTCTTTTTCTCTTCCTTCCCAGAGCAGGCCCTGATAGTGCTCTGTGGCGGCCCCCTCCTCACAGACGCTCCGTGGCCGATTGCAAGGAAGCACACAATGAAGTCATTTAATACCCCACCTGCTGCTTCTAAATCCCACCCAGACCTGTTTCCTGCATTTGAGGGGGCTCCCCCCAGCCTTCCGAGGCAGGAAGCCAACATTCATGGGCTGTGGGTATCCCAAAAGAGGAGATTATCCTCCCTCCTCCATCCTTTTATAATCACCGCTTTGGAGGGGCGGAAACAAGATATGGCTTGAAGGTGGCTTTTAAGATAATCCAGGTCTGGGCCGCGCAGGAGACACCGGATCCCTCCCTGGAGAGAGGCTGCACTGGGGGGACCTGCCGGTGCTTGATCGTGGCTGGGCCCAAAGGGGGATGGGTTTTGAGGGCAAAAAAGGGGATGGGGTTGTGTTCATTCCCCCCCACACCCCTCCTCTGAATTCAGAGACTAAAATGCAGGATTGGACACAGGCGGACCTTGAGCCAAATCTGCCTTCTTGGTCCCCAACAGGTATTGCTGCAAGCAGAGGGACCTCAAGTTGTCTTTGTTCATTTGTTTTTTGGTTTGTTTTTTTTAAAAAAAGACTTATTGTCTTTCTTTCCCTTTAGCTTCCTTATCCTTATTTCCTCCTTTTCCTTCCTTCTTGCCTGCCTGCCTTTTTTTGTTTCTTTCCCTTCCTTCCTTTTTTCTCTCCCTCCCTTCCCAATCTCCCACCCACCCTCCCTCCCTTCTCCCTCTCCTCCAATTCTTCTTCCTTCCTTCCTCCCTCTCCCCTTTCCAGTTCTCTCCTTCCTTCTTTCTTCCCCTCCCTCCTTCTCCAATTCTCCTTCCTTCCTTCACCTTCCCCCCTCCCATTCCTTCTTTCTTTCTTTCTTTCTTTCTCTTTCTTTCCTTCCTTCACCTTCCCTCCCTCATTCCCTCTCCTTCTTTTTCTTTCTTTCTTTCTTTCTTTCTTTTCTTTCCTTCCTTCCTTCCTTCCTCCCTGCCTCCCTCCTATTTATCTGGCCACCAGTCTCAATGACCAGGTGGGGTATGGCTAACTAAGATTTTAAAATATAGTATGTATGTATGTATGTATGTATGTATGTATGTATGTATGTATGTATGTATGTATGTATGTATACATACATACTATATACTATATTTTAAAATCATGCAGTTGGGATTATATCTATCTATCTATCTATCTATCTATCTATCTATCTATCTATCTATCTATCTAGTCTGTCTCTCTCTCTCTCTCTCTCTCTCTGTGTGTGTGTGTGTGTGTGTGTGTATAATCCCAATTGCATGATTTTTTCTCTCCTCTTCCTTTCTTTTTAAATTTATCCTCTGGCTTTCCTCCCTGCTGCACCACAGCCCTGCGAGGTAGGAAGAGCAGAGCGGGAACGCGTAATTCCACCGCTGAAGGCAAGGATTGAAAATCCGTTGCAAACTACACAAATGAGCGATTGTGCTCTTACAAGACTCTCCCTCCCCCCCTTGTCTGCATTGAAAAAAAATCCTCATCTCCCATTGTTTTTTTTTAAAAAAAGTGGGTCTCTTGCACACACACACACACACACACAAAACGCTCAAGTTGTGGCAGATCAACTCCGCTTTGAGTTGACTTCCTGAAGGCACAAAGGGAAGATCATCCTAACAAGCTGCCGATCTGACGTTGATCCAAGGCTTGGGAGGGGGGTCTCTGATGGGACCCTCGCCCCCCCTCCCCCAAAGGGGTACCTGCTCAATGATGGAAACCCGGCTGCTGAGCGGCAACTGACTTGACTCCTTGCAAAGAGCTGAACCCCCCCTAATTTGGGGAGCTGAAAACTTATTTGGGGGTGTAGAATTTCTCAGATTTAATCCCCTTTTGAGGATTGGCGTTCCCTTTTGTGGCTGGGACTTCATGCGTGAAACGTTTTGATCCGGGGGGCTTGGCCTTGCGTGGGAACGCTCCGGTTCCTCTCTAGGAGCACCCTGGCCCATAATCCTGGCTGCGGGGAGGTGGGCAGGCCCAGAAGTAGAAAATATAGGCTGGTTCAGGAGGTGAGGAAGAGTTTGAGGGCCAGTGTTTTGATTGCATTGGGAGGTAAACAGAATATTCTTTCTGTAAATTTACACTAGTCCTCGACTTACGACCTCAACTGAGCCCGATACTTCAGCCGCTAAGCTAGACAGCCGTTGCGTGAGTTTTGCCCCATTTTATGACCTTTTTGCCACAGTTGTTAAGTGAGTCATTGCAGTTATAAGGGTAATTAAACGGTCGTTAAATGAATTCCGGCTTCCCCATGCTTGTCAGAAGGTCGCCAAAGAGGAGCACGTGACCCCCCCCAGCGACGCTGCACCCGTCATAAAGACGAGTCAGTTGACAAAGCGTCTGAATTTTGATCACGTGATCAAAATGGCTGCCCCGGTCGTAAATGTGAAAAATGGCGGCAAATCATCTTTTTCAGGGCTGTTTTTAAATACATTGGATAAAACGGATTCCCTTAATGCAGGGCTCTTCAAACTTGGCCCTTTGATGACTTGTGGACTTCAACTCCCAGAATTCCTCAGCCAGGTACCCGTGCCTGGCTGAGGAATTCTGGAAGTTGAAGTCCACCAGTCATCAAAGGGCCAAGTTTGAAGACCCCTGTCCTATAAGGAATTTAACCAGCTTCTTTTAATAACCCCCTGCGTTTGTTTAACAACGGCCGCAAAAAGAGGTCATAAAATCGGTCATGGTCACTGGCGACCATAACAACTTGGAATTATGGTTGTAAATGGAGGACCACCTGCAAATAAATAGCCTGGCAGCCGTAGGAACAATCTAACTTTTTATTATTATGATGAGAGTTTCTTATCTTCAAGGCATTCCTTAACCAGAAACTCCCTCTCCTTGAAACTCGAGATTCTAAACCAGGGCTCTTCAAACTGGGCCCTTTCATGACTTGTGGACTTCAACTCCCAGAATTCCTCAGCCTGCCTGGCTGAGGAATTCTGGGAGTTGAAGTCCACAAGTCATGAAAGGGCCAAGTTTGAAGATCCCTGTTTTAAACCTTAAAATTTAGGATTTTCTCCGGATCCGTCTTGAGTCGTTTTCTCCCTCAACGTTTCCCTTTTCCTACACCCAAAGACACACACAACAACTCGCCAGGTTTATGAAGGCGGATCTTTTTCACCTCTGGGATGGGAGTCGTAGTTTGCAAAACGGCCCCGGAGATCTGAATGCTTCAGTCTTGAGAAGGTTAACTTCAACTAACTCGGAGAGAACCAACAGATACCGATACACACACACACACACACACACACACACAATCACAAAGTTCCATTTATCATATCTATAATACTACTACTACTACTACTACTACTACTACTACTACTACTACTACTACTACTACTACTAATAATAATAATAATAATAATTGGAAGGGACCTTGGAGGTCATCTAGTCCAACCCCCTACTCAGGCAGAAAACCCTATACGAGGGGTCTTCAAACTTGGCCCTTTCAAGATTTGTGGACTTCAATTCCCAGAATTCCTCAGCCAGGCACCGTGGCTGAGGAATTCTGGGAGTTGAAGTCCACAAGTCCTAAAAGGGCCAGGTTTGAAGACCCCTGCCCTATACCATGTCAGATAAATGGCTGTTAAGAACAGACTGGACAGCCATTTGTCTGAAATGGTAGAGTTTTTCCTGCCTGAGCAGGGGGTTGGACTAGATGACCTCCAAGGTCCCTTCCAACTTTTTAAAATTATATTATCATTAGCGTTATTATTAATAATGATAATAACAATGACAACAAACAACAACAATAATGGTAGTAGTAGTAGTAGTAATAATAATAATAATAATGATGATGATAATGATAATAATATGATAAAGGGACTTTGTGATTTTGTGTGTGACTCCAGTCAGACCGGATCCCTGTTAGATCCACTCTCTCAAGTGAACTTGTTATAACTTGTTTTCCCCCCAGAAAGGAGCCGAAAGAGACACAACCGTTGTGTTCTTTCTCACAGGCCAGTTTCATCCTTTCCTGCGTCTATTTTGTACGCTGGTAGAACTGGACTACTGCTTTCTCCTGATCGTACGTCTCGATGGAGCCCGGACGCAGTTGGCGGATTTTCTGGATGGCGTCTGCCCCACTGATTTTGTGGGCCTTTGTAAGGTAACAGGCCAACATGGTTCCCGTCCTTCCGAAGCCCAGCAAACAATGAACAGCCACAGCCTGGCGGATGGGAAAAAAAACAAACAAACATTTCAAGGGTTTTTTTCCCCCTTTTTTTGCTTTTTCCATGTGATTTTCATTACAACTTTTAAAACGGAAGATAAAAAGTGAAGGCAAACGAATATAAAGAAAAAGAGAAAAAAAAAGCAAAAACCGTGAGAAAGAAATACAAAGACAAATGAATGTGAAACCAGTCACTAAATGAGTTGTTGTAAGTCAAGGACTTCCTGTAGGGTCCAAAATGGTGTTTTTTAACCCCTGGAAACTTTAAGAGGGGTGGTCTTCAACTTCCAGGATTCCCCAGTTCAGCATGGTTTAGTCTGGGAGTTGAAGTCCACCCCTCTTAAAGCATGGTGGCTGGGGAATTCTGGGAGCTGAAGCCCACCCCTCTTAAAGCGCGCTGGCTGGGGAATTCTGGGAGCTGAAGCCCACCCCTCTTAAAGCATGCTGGCTGGGGAATTCTGGGAGCTGAAGCCCACCCCTCTTAAAGCACGCTGGCTGGGGAATTCTGGCAGTTGAAGCCCACCCCTCTTAAAATTAACAAGGCTGAGAAACATTATAACATTCTTAGAAATCTTTGCCATGTCTATTCTTTGGACTGCCCTACCTCGCAGGGGTGTCAGGCCCATAATGAGTGGGCATCGCTGCAATAGCCAACCCCCCCCTTACCTCCCCCTTGGCGTTGGCATCTTCCACAATCTGCAGAAACCGCTGGATCTGTTCGGCCGAGGGGGAGCAGAAGTCGGCAATGCGTAGACGGTGCACTTGGATGCCCGGGCAGGTGTCGTGATAAGGCGGATTCCGCTCGGTGAGCGACACCAGGTGCCGGATCCCGTGGTCATGCATGTACTTGTAATGAGCAGGCAGCCGGGGCATGGCCAGCCCAGCCAACAGGCCTGAGACGACCCAAGAGAAATTGGGGGGCAGCGCCGATGCCATAAGTCCTGCCAGGGCAGAGAGGAAAAATGGATTTATGCCTTGGGGAAGGGCGAAGGGGGCCCTGTTAGAAAGAAGAGTAATATGGTATGACAGTGTTTCTAAACTTTTGGCAACTTTTAAGACGGGTGGACTTCAACTCCCAGAATTCCTCAGCCAGCATGCTCTGGGAGCTGAAATCCACCCATCGTTAAGCGTGCTGGCTGGGGAATTCTGGGAATTGAAGTCCACCCATCTTAAAACATGGTGGCTGGGGAATTCTGGGAGTTAGCAACCTATCTTTAAGTTGCTCAAATTGAGAGACACTGCTCTATGTTACTTTGGAGAGAGAGATCAAAATGTATTTAATGATAGATAGATAGATAGATGATAGATAGATAGATAGATAGATAGATAGATAGATAGATAGATAGATAGATAGATGATAGGCAGGCAGGCAGGCAGGCAGGCAGGCAGGCAGAGCTTAAATGGACTCCAGAAGATGGTAGAGGACAGGAAGGCCTGGGGGAATTATGTCCATGGGATCACGATGGGTCGGACACGACTTCCCAACTAATAACAACAATTAGATAGATAGATAGATAGATAGATAGATAGATAGATAGATAGATAGATAGATAGATAGATAGATAGATAGATAATGAAAGAGAGCGAGGGGGAGGAGAGATAGATAGATAGATAGATAGATAGATAGATAGATAGATAGATAGATAGATAGATAGATAGATAGATAGATAGATAGATAGATAGATAATGAAAGAGAGCGAGGGGGAGGAGAGATAGATAGATAGATAGATAGATAGATAGATAGATAGATAGATAGATAGATAGATAGACAGACAGACAGATAGAAAAAGAAAGAAAGAAAGAGAGAGGAAGGATTGCATTTTGAGGGTTCTGTCGCCTCCTTGTGGCCGACCCCTGCAATTGCAGGAGAGGCGAGAAAAAAGCAAAACAGCCTCTAATTTATTTATTTTTTTTGCAGATCTTGCAACACTGCCTAAAAATAAACGCCAGCCCCGCGGGGGGGGGGGAGAGCGTCCCCGGCTGACCTGGGGGCTGTTCTGCGAATGCACCTCCTCCAAACGACCCTCGCTGACCCGGGAAGGCCCGTGCCTGACTCTTCACCCCGATTTGCAAGATTTGCGCCCCCCCTCCTTGACGCCTCCCTTATCTGGCTTTCCAAGCCTGCACGAACGGCGATCGCTGCGCTAGGGGCTCCGTTGAACCCAGGATGTACCTGCGAGGAAGCGAGGGAGGCGCAAACGCCCCGTTCCCACGTGCTTGGCTTGCCCCGGAACCAGCCGGCCAAACATTCCCACGTGTCGAGCGGCGGGCTGAAAGCCGAAGGGAGCGTCTCTGAACGCCGCTCTCCTCGCCAAGCGCGAAACGGAGAAGGGACCGTCGTCAAACTCTCAACTTTCCCAGCCGCGGGTTAGATGCTCATCGTGGGGTAAATCTTGGCTGGTTTTCATACCACAACTTGCCGAACACGGGTATTCAGTCCGCGATTCGGTTCAAGAAGTTAGTGACCCAGGCTAAGCCACAAAAAAAAAAAGCTGCATCAAACTAACCAAGTTTGGCCTCTTGGAGAGAAAACAATTCCTTCAATGGAGCAGGTTGTGAGAATCTGGCCTCTCTTTTGCATAAGCTGTCACAGAGAGCAGCCTTCAAGAGGACTAGAAACATTCCAGAAGGAACCTTCAAGAGGACTAGAAACATACCAGGACTAGAATCATACCAGGAGCCACCTTCAAGAGGACAAGGATTTTCAAAAGGGCTAGAAAAATACCAGGAGGGGCCTTCAAGAGGACTAGAAACATACCAGGACTAGAATCATACCAGGAGCCACCTTCAAGAGGACCAGGATTTTCAAAAGGGCTAGAAAAATACCAGGAGTGCCCTTCAAGAGGACTAGAAACACACCAGGACTAGAATCATACCAGGAGCCACCTTCAAGAGGACCAGGATTTTCAAAAGGGCTAGAAAAATACCAGGAGTGCCCTTCAAGAGGACTAGAAACATACCAGGACTAGAATCATATCAGGAGCCACCTTCAAGAGGACCAGGATTTTCAAAAGGGCTAGAAAAATACCAGGAGTGGCCTTCAAGAGGACTAGAAACAGACCTACTGGTCCCTTGAGTCTACTCTCTGGGTTTGTTTTTTTGTTTTTTTTAAATTAACGTATTTATTATTTTTAATTATTATTTTAATATTTTACTCATTGTGTTATTTTTTTATATTTTTATTTTTCATTTTTTTTCATTTTTGTCTTCACGATGGACGTGTGCTTATCCAAGCATGTTTAGGGATCATTTATGTTTAAACTCAATGTCTATATGGAGATTCTCCGTCATTCCAGGTCACAGTTATCCCGGTAATTGCCGGTAATTTATGTTTAAACTCAAGTTACCCAAACGCGCTTGGCAGGAATCCCCTGTTACTTAACTCCTTCCTCGGAAAGAATCAAGTTCAAAAGACGGGAGGCAAATATTGATTCTGCCCCCCCCCCCCGTTGCTTGCAGTTTTTCCACCAAACCCCTTAAAAGACCCCCAAGCCCCTTATCCTGACCCTTGATAAACAGGGTGTCATGGTTCCGACATCCAATGACACGGGGGTTTAATTTCCCACCCCTGGCACGTTGCTTACTTATTAACCCAGCATGAAAAGATAAATTGCAGGATTCGCAGCCTGCTTCCAGACCCAGGAAGACTGAGGATTGATATTTTCCCTCTTGGCACACCAAGGTACACACACACACACACAAACACACACACACAAATAGACACCTGTGGCTGGCTCTTTCTCGCTGGAGAACAAAATGAAGATATTTCTGCTGCTCCTTCTTGTCTGCTTCACGGAAGCTGTACCACAGGAAAGTAAGTGACGCATGGGATTTGTAGTGGGAATTTAGCGGGGGGGGGGAGGAGGGTCCAAGCAACCCCTTGAGCTGAGCTGCTGATCTTCTTCCAAAAATTTGGGAGCCCGGGGGGGGGGCAGAGATGTATTACAGGAAGTCCTCGACTTATAACCGTTCGCTTAGTGACTGTCCAAAGCTACAACGGCACTGAAAAGACTTATGACTGTCCCAGGTCATGTGATCAAAATTCAGGCACTTGGCAACTGGCATGTTGCAGGACCCCGGGGTCACGTGATCACCCCTTGCGGCCTCCGACAAGCCGAGTCAATAGGGCAGGCCGGATTCGCTTAATGACAGTGGGATCCACTTAACGACCATGGCCAAAAAGGG